CAGATTTCGGACTGGCTGAAGTAAAGCGCTATATGGAAATTCCCAATTACAAATCCTTGTCTAATGCTGCTCTTAAGTTTTATCGCAAGGATGAAGCTGATTTCAAGCAGCTACACTGGGTTACAATGTCAAAAATTAAAAATAAGAATACTGCTACGGGCAAGAAGGATCCACCTACGGATTGCTGCGTGGAGTTCAAATCACAGGGGTTACAAATTATCACAGTGTCAAACGTGTGCAATATACTTGGGAGGAAGAATGGTCGGGCTGCAATTGAACAGGTGTGCAAGGACCAAGGTATTCCCCCACCCTGGGATAGAGAACCAATGCACACCTTCTATAGGCTGCCTAAGGACGGGCGTAAGCAGAGCGCGGTGGAAAGGTGGGCTATGGTTGATTCCCCACTCCAGGGGCCGCCTGCTACAACTCTACCTTCTAATGGACAAGTTTCGACGAATGGTGGCGGCTTCCAAGATCCACGGGTTGATTCGCTCAACAACAAAATAGCCAATCTAGAGAAGAAGATTGACTTACTTTCAACGGCAATTGAGAAGCTTCTGGCTGGCTCCGCTGGAGAAAAATCCATTTTTATACCCCAGGAGGAGGAGGAGGAGGAGCTGTGATCAGGCTTGGAAATCGATCGAGCGATCGATTCAGTGTGTCCAATAGTATATTATCAATATATTACCATATCGTGCACGTACCGTTTTAAGGCACGTGCACGATAATTCTCGCCCCGATAAGATAATAACCCTAGCAACGTAATGTTTATTTACAATAAAATTTCCTTTTTAGTACCCTATGATGTCAGAAAAAGTGCTTGGTAATATATGGTTTCACACTATTGGACACACTGGATCGATTTGATCGATTCGATTAATCGATTCGATTTCGATTTCGATCGTATAGATCCGACCTGTCAATCGATCGATATCGATCAATTACAAACCCTGATCGATCGATATCATATCGATCCAAAGCTCAATCGATCGATTTGATCGTCGATCGTCAAGGGTCCCGGGTAGGCTGCCCGGCGTACAGCGTGGTGTAAAAATTATCCGTCATGCCGAAGTACCTCACCTGCTAAACTCTTAAGCATGATACATGATCCTGTACGAGTATCTTTTACCCCCTGCGTAACCTTGCCTTTATTGCATACGCGGTGGTTCCAAGATGCGCCCCATCAATGCACACGCGACGGGCGCAGTATATTCTTAACTAATTGTTATTTATCATGCTCCTTTCTAAGACTACCCCAGCCATATCCCGCGACATTTGGATGTCTATCTATATGTTGCTTGTACCAGCAAGCCAGCATCCATGCTGGCTTCTGATTGGCTAGCCCCTGGCTAAGGCCCACTTATCTAGCTGCTATCACCCACCACCAGCGGTGGTGGCGATAGCTTCAGAACAAGCAAGAACAACATGATCACCAACGCGTAGCCGTTTGTGCCTGTGATAATTATCACCCGCATAGGAGCCTTGCGCTTCCAACACTATAACTGTCTGAATAAACTATTTATAGTTTTAACCTTAGTCGGCCTCACAATCCTTGATTAACGTTCGCTATATTATAGGAGAAAGTTGCCATTACTATGGACTTATTCAATGACGGGATGGAGCTGGTCTCTTCGACTCCGTCACCTTCCGAGCCGTCAACCAGTTCAGCGCCAACTAACTCATTTGCATTTAGCAAGTTTAGGGTTAGGGTTAATAAAGGGCAGTATTAATCGATTCGATCGTCGATCGATATCGATTTGGACACTGATCGATCGATATCTATCGACTGAGAGGGCCGCTCGATCGATTTATATCGATCGGGGCTCAGAATCGATCGATACGATCGATTTCCAAGCCTGGCTGTGATATGAAGTGTCAGTTTGCTTATTTGTTGGCTGCTAAATGCAGATATAATAAGCCAAGGTAAAATGTGATTCCGAGCTTGGAGTCGCATTAAGTTCGTTTTCAAGTCCTTTGCAGCATCTTACTACCATTTACCTGTTTCCGTTTTCATACCGAAACGTGGCAATCTGATATTTCGCATGCACCGCAAATGGCGCCTAAGCTATCCAAGAGTATTGTTTTCCGTTCCTATAGAACTTTAGCTTGAAAATACGCAATGGAGAGAGAGGTTATATTATCTTATGTAGTGAAATATCAAGTATGCAAAATCTTTTATTGTATGTCAAATATCGAGCGTCATCCAATGGAGTACATTCAAGCCTTAGCGACAACGATGCCAGCAGGCTTGCAGGCGTCAAAATTCGGACGTTACCGAGGGGTGAGAAGTCAGGATGTAGTGCTGAAGAGAGAGAGAGAGGGAGGGAGGGAGAGAGAAAGTTGATATCTCGGCTAGGGAAAGAAATGGCCCGTAGTATCTGGCTTAGGTTTGAAGCCAAACCACTCTAACGGACGATTTTCAAGCTACGGGGACTACAGGGGGTAGAAGCGGTGCTCATTCTGCTCTTCTCCCCGTTATATCACAATGTTGAGTAGTATAGTAATAGTATAGTAGTATAGTAGTAGTAGCGTAGTAGTAGTATTTAAAATACTACGCCACCCATTGCACGTTAGAGCTGTTGACTGCAAGGGGTAGAATCATGCGAAGGCTGAGAGTCCGTGGGCCAAGCAATGATTACAACTACTGCATTAGTTATCTAGTTAAGCTTTTGAGCAATTATGTAATTTTTTATGCAGAACTCTGGTCTGTCTTGTAAGGGTTCCGTGTAAGAATCTGATGTCTCCTATGACGCCCCCTCTTCTTCATCTTCATACCATCCGGGGGAGACTCATAAAACAGATGACTAGGATCAAATGCGCATCCAACATCAGGCCCTGCAGAGTTTTCACACGAGAGACAGCTACGTAGCTGAGACCAGTCTGAAAGTCCCGGCAGGAGAGATCCGTAACGATCACGTCTTCAGTAATGCTTTGCGACTTGTGAACGGAGCATACGATCAGGGAAAACTGGGTGCGAGTGCAACAAGGGGCTCCGAAGAGAAAGTCCCTCTCTACTGGGAGAATCGGGACAATCTTGCGGCCATCAGCGGTGGTTAAGAACACCGGTCCGCTATACTTGTCAAACTCCATCATGATAACACAGCGAGGGTCTTGGACGAGGTCAGTCCCAGGTGCCCAGCCGATGTCGGAAACGGTACCACGGGCGCCGTTGCAGAGGCCAACAATCTGCCAAGGTTGGACGTCAGTATCAGACGGGTGCCAATACTTGTAAGAGACGCGGACAGCCATAGCCTGACTAACTTCACGTGCTTCCACACCTTAAACCTCATCAGCTTTCTAGGACGGTACACCGACATGATGGCATAAACTGCGAGAGCCTGTTCCTTTCTTGATTGCCCGTGGACTTTAGATGATAAGATATTGATCCTGTCTGATTTTAAGTCTAAAACTAATAGTGATACTAAAGTGATGGGATAAGATGTCCTGTGTGTACACTTTACACATGACTATTATCCTAAAGACTTGCTTCCTTTTATCTCTGCGATTATAGCGTTATTGGTTTACATCAGACACGGTCTAATAAAAGTAATCGGTGAGCAATCGTAGATTAAACTTTAAAGTACAGTAATAGCTAACATGATCCTAGGGAGAACGAAGGCGGGCCTTGCACCCTTGACCTGACAACCTTTTGCGCTGCCAAGGTCTGAATGTCGTCTTCCAGGACCAAAGCGGGGCAGCGCCTAGGTTCGCAGGGACCCGCGACTTTAGAATTTCGCGGGACCCCGCCTACGAAAAATTTGTACTGACCTTACTGGCTGCCACTAAAATGTCTTCACTCTTCCACTCATTTGTAGAGCCATGAGCCAACTTCCTAGTTCGGCGTTTGCTGCGTCATTTCCCACCGGCATGACTTTTACCACTTTTGATTCGCCCAAATTTTCTTGACCCATAGGTACTTCTCAATAAAGGCGGTGTAGCGGGCTTCCTTAACATCTCCTAAATAACTTACAGCCTGGTCTATTGCAAGCCCAATTGTGCACAATCGCGAGCGCAATTAGTCTCCCACCAGATGGTCGACTGAAGTTTAAGC